GACTGCATACTCATAGTCTGTAAGAGACCTCTCAACTTGGACTTCATTGCTTTGGTACAGTATGTCACCTTTTGTGGTTGCACCAGTTTGATGAATGTTCTCATAGATCGAGTCGACTTGTCATAAATGGATGACTTTGCCTTGTACTCGCTGAGTTCCATAAGCATCGTATTCTTGCACGATTGGGATCAGAAAGTGATAGCCTGAAGTGTCGGCTTCCTGGCTTGGATGGTGCCTGACTTTTCATGGTTCAATGGCCAATGAAGCCAGTGGCACATCATTCCACTCAGGCTTGAGCCTTAGGTCCTGGACAATGTGTTGTCAGGGTTCTCCTCAAAAGGAAATACCTGGTGTCAGGCCTATCCATTTGGATGGAAGAGGAACGGTCGCTTGGAACTCTGTTCTGGTCCTCGTAGCTGTTGCCTCTTCCTTCAGATGGCTTCTTCCTTGGGAAATTGAATCCCCTACCCCCCCTAGAAGGGTGATTTTCCTCCACCATCGACCACTTCTTCCTTGGAATCTCATGGTGCCGTGGTGTGGTATATGCACTTTGTTGCTGTTCTTGTTCCTTGGAACTATCTTTGTTCTCTGATGACTGTGGGATACTCCTGCAGGAAGGATCTCACGACGGCACTACTCTGTGTAGTTGCCTGTAAAAGCTTGTTGGCTGGATACCTTCTTTGGTCACACTGGTGGTGCACTTGCTTCGGTGGCTGGATAGCCTCTTCGTTGACAGCTCAGTCAACGTGGCTCTTATGGACCGTTGGGTAGTAGCGAACTGGCTCTGTTGGTCCTCTTGTTGCTCTGCAAAGCTTAGCAGATGGTCTTGGTATGCTTGGATGGTAACACTGTGTGAGTATTACAGTTTTGAAACAGACAAACGGTAGATGTTTAGGACTTCCGTGTGGTTTACCGGGGTTTTTTGTGGTTCACGTCACAATATCGGTGGATCACTCGGATCAACCTATCTCACTCAGATTCTGAGAGTTAGAAGCGTGCTACTGATACTCAGAGGTTTCCTTGACGTGTTGCGCAACTTTCTCTCTATGTGTCTTGTGGCTTGCAACGCCCTGTTCGTGCGTATAGCTTGATCGACAACTGTTGGCTTTTGCTCGCCATGATGTGGATGAACGAAAATCTCGTAATCTGCGCCGGCGATGACGTTAATCCGCTTCAAATCCTTGAATAACAGCCGTGTTCCTTGCTTCCAGCACGTTACCTATTCAGTTTTCTCCGCTTGAGATGGTGGTATCCTCAGATCAAACGTAGTTCCGGCCGGATAACTGGTGTAGATCGATCTGTGACGTTCGAATTGGGATTGAAGATGGGAACTTCACGCGCACGCACCTCTTGTCGTGTTAGAAGCTTTTTGTATCCTTTATAGTTTAGTTGTGTGCAGTTATTTCGCGCACCTCTCCTTTGTTGCTATAGTTACTCAATGATATGTCTTGATTGACTTTATGTCAACTTGTGTAATACTCTCTCGAGGCGGTTGACTTCGAACGCAGATGAGCTTTTGCTTTTCAGTGTTGTTTGCTGTAATACTGCAGCTTATTGGGGATAATTGGTTTTAGATAGCTGAAAAGCAAAAGTGAGATTTTCTGGTGGTGCATACAATTCTTGTGATGAATGGATATAAGACCCCCGCAACACTTTAGACCTAAAACTCCTCGTTCCTTGCATGATAATTTGCATGCGAACCGGACTATATGATTAAACACGAGTCAATAGTAAAGTGTCAGTATATTTCCTCCAACATCCACCTTGAGCCTCCACAGAAACAAGGCGCCGACCATGCACCTGCATCCTTGAGCGAATCCATGTTGGGGATAATGTAGGTGTACTCCAGGCGGCCATCTTTGTTGTGCTTTGCCTTATTTGTGACAATTTGGCAAGCCCTCATTCCACGAAACCCAATCTCGTCAAGGGTTGTATGATTGCGCTGTATTAGACGTTGGTCGCGGAATTCCTCTCCTCTTCTGGTTGTGGCACTCATCGACCAATATTGAGAGGCAAACTGAAGCCGGTAGAATGGGTGTAGCTTGGCCACTGCTCCATTGGACTTGCTCGAAATACAGATAATGCCATCTCTCTAGTTTGTTCCGGAGTCAGGAGCTGCTGAAGCCCGGCTTGGATATCTTCACATGCGTCAAGTGATTGAGCTGCTGCACGGGATGTGACCGTAGACACACTTTTCTGTATAGACAGCGACTCTCCAACCTTGATTTGGACCAACTCGGCATATTGATTGACTTCCTTTTGGCGGGAGTAGTGTTCACACTTAAGATGTGTATTCACAAACGTCTTAGCTTTTATAAGAACCGATTTGCCAACATGAAGATCAGCCAAAAGAAACCGAAAGAATCCATCGGTTCTCTCCCTATCATATTGCTGGTGGTTTTGGATATCTTCTCGCTTGCTGTACAACTGTAGACCATGGTTTCGAACCCATGGCTCCTGTTGGTTAATCGTGCCACAGTACTTGATCCAACGAGGAGCGATGCATCGAATCGCCCTCTCTACTGATGGCTTGCAAATGTGATCTTGTTCCATGTTGGGATAAAGCTCCAGTAACGGCAGAATTTTACAATCGGCCGGAGGTACCAACTCCTCGGTTGAGAGCTCCAACTCGTCGTTCAGATCCGGTGCTTGCTGTGGGAGATCTTGTTCATACTCGGCAGCAGCAAAAGTATCAAATTCGGCCCTCGTGGTGGCTTCTCCGGCAATGGAAATGTCGTTGGTCGGGGTACCGGCAAAGCCACTGCCGTCATGGCTGTCTCTGGCTGCAACAGCTGTATCAGGGGAGCTACTCATCTTTCCAAATAGCAGATAGAAACTATGAGATGGGTGGCAACCCAGTCCATTGGTGCTGCTCCTGGTGCTACTCCTGGTGCAGGTGCCACCAACACAACCTGCACCGCCACCAGTAGCAGCAGTATGGATGGTACTCTCCCATTTGAATGCTGCGAATTCCTAAGTGTTAATGCTAGTTTGGCCCACCATACTCTCAGAGCCAGGCAGTCTGGCAAAGGAGCCCACCCGCCACTAGGGACTGGTGTCAGCTGAGTCCCCTGTGGTGGGGGAAGCAGGCAGGGTGGAGGCAAAGTTTCCCAAAAGTAATCCGCAGAGGTACAGGGAGATTTCTACAGGGATCCAGTAGGGTGTGCAGGTGCGCGCATGAGAGAGATGTTATACAGTGAGAAAGAATGGGGGTTACATGTATGTCATACAGCCGTAGAGCAGCAAGTAAAGTATCCCGATGACGTCAATATCGCGACTTTAACCGTAGCCCCGCTAGTCGCGGTTTTTAATTAAAAAAGTGTTGAGTGTTTTTAGCAAGTTTCCGGAACCTCTACTTGACAGTTTCGCGTGCCAGTCGTGCTTCTTTGGACCTTGCTTGGCCTCTCAAAACTCAAAATCGCATTTCGCCTCGAACTTACTGCTGGTAGTTCATTGCTGCTGTTTGCCACCGTCCAGAGAGAGGTCCAGAGGTGTGCATTGCATTGGGCGACAAAATGAATCGAATCAACAAGACAGCCATGAAAACAACAAACACTCATCTATCACCACCCTCCACAGTCGTTGTGGCTAGCCTCCAAGCCAGCAGTGATTTAGGCTCTGTCGAGGCAAACACTGCCAAGTTCACGGCCTTGGCAATCGAAGCCGCCAACAAAGGTGCCAAGATTTTGGTGCTGCCCGAGACGGCCATCACTGGATACCTTTCGCAGGATCTGAAGACCAATTGGATCACACCGGAACGTAAAGCTTTGGGATTGAAAAAGTTTAGAGGAGAATTGGATCCAGCAACTGCCGCGCAACCCAAAGATGGACCCATCGTCCAGCACTTTTGTGACCTTGCCAAGAAGCTTGGTGTTTACATTACGGTGCCCTTTCTGGAGGTTGCAGAGCGTGCAATCGAAGCATCCGAGGAGGAGGAACGTGAAGAAGAGGAACAGCCCAGATTGGAAAGAGTATACTACAACAGCGTATCTTTGGCAGCCCCCTCGGGCGAAGTCGTTGCTCACTATCGAAAGAACTCACCGTGGCCAACACCAGAACAGAGCTGGGCCACGGCCGGAAACGAAGTCGCCTATGCGGATACTGAATATGGTCGTGTTGGTCTCGCCATTTGCTTTGATATCCATTCGGTACTGGTCAAATATGATCGATTCCGTTTGTGGGCTCTGCTCTACCCAATAGCATGGGTGGGCAAGCCGAAAGAATGGTTCCACAACAAACTGCCGTCTTTGCTGAAGCAATGCAATGTGCCGCACTACATTATTGGTTGCAACTGGTCAACCGACAAGGCGTATGTCTGGCCCGGTGCTGGCTTCTCCACTCACTACGGGCCAAAGGGGGAGATCCTTGCCACCACGAGCGACAGTGTTTGGAGCACGATTGTGTATTCAACTCTGCCAGTACACACTAGTCGTAGCGATGAGCGGCCGGAGGCGTCAAACGGGCGTTTGAACCTCGACAAATACGCCTCTTGGACTCGCACTGGCGGGGAGCAGGCAAAGGAATGGCGCTGGTTTTGAGGTCAGGTTCGGTTTCTAGAGCTGGCTACAGGCTGTAATCCCAGAGAGTCGAGTCGGCAAACATATAGCTTTTGATGCTTTCGCAGCGACGCGCATCCACCAGAACTTAAAGCAATGTTGAGCCACTAAATACCCTGCAATTTTAATAGAGCCATGAAACCGTTTATTGTTGGGGTTTCTCATCTTTTTCAAAGACAATCTCCTCCACCGAATCGGCAGTTTCGATGGCCATATCTTCTGCCTCCTTGACCAGACTTTGGGCCTCCTCCAGAAGAGCAACCTCATCCAGCGCGTGAGATGAAGAACGTATCGGTTGTCCATGCCGCACTCGTTGTAGAATGCGACCCACCATCGCACTGTAGTCTTGATGCGATCCAACAATGTCGGTGCAATCAATGTTCTCAACACCTGGAACCGCTACGGTACCATTCCCAACCACTGGTTGGTAGCTGCCGAGCAGATTTCTGTATTTGAAGATGTACGACAGAACTTTGTCTTTTCGTGAGTAAACATTGACCAGGCGACCAGCTACAACTTGACGGCATGACTTCCATGCACTCAAATTCAAGTACTTGGGCATTCCCATCAGAACGGCATCTTCAATAATGGATGCCGGCTCTCGATCGAATTCAAGATCGCCAACCTTACAGACCATCTTTTGATTGTAATCCTTTCCGCCGATGTTGCTTTCGAATTCCATTTGTGCCTTTTCCTTCTGATGATCCTCCCATGCTTCTTGATACCGTGCTAGTTCCATGAGGCATACATAGATGATTCGAGCGCCAAAGCTGTATCCAACCAATGTAATAGGTCTATGTCCACCTTTGTTGATCAACAGACTCCGGGCGAGCTCCCTACCAGCCTCATCAGCCCGATCCATAACCAAAACCCATACTCCATCAATACTGCTCATCACCTGCATTTGCGTGCGTAAAGCGGGAGTTGAGGGCCATGGATTCCACATCAGAAAACAAACACAAACACAACATTGCCGTTAGTTAGTTCACTTACCGAAATCACGGTCCATGGCAACGCGGCAGCAAAGATCAAGGGAGCCATGACTGTCGTCTTCATGATTTGCTGTCCTGCAGACGACGCCAGCTGGAGGGCAAGATCTTGAATGGAATCGGATAATTCCTCCAACACGGCACTTTCCCATTGCACAGTGTACAGCTCGCCGCCGTAGTGTTTGGGATAGTCCCATACCGTGTTGAGATATTCTGGTGGTTTGAATGGTTTGTCGTCTTCGTCGTGTCTCTTGACCTTTTCAAACCCAGTATCATGCAGAGTCACTGTTTTCGTCGTTGAACTTTCGTTGTCGTCTCCTTTGGTGGATGAGCCCCATCCTTTCCACACCAACGACGACCTTGTCTTTTCTTTGCCCTTTTCCTTTGGCTTAGTGTTGTTCGGAGACTCTTTGGGTGGCTTTTTGGTAGACTTTTTGTTGTTTCCGCCACCACCACCTTGCTCGTTACCAATGGCGACAATGATTTGATCCAACTGCTGGATTTCCTCCTCCGTCAATGCACTATCGTTATTATTCTTGCTCTTGTCGCCTCCAAATACATTGTCGGGCGTACATGCATATTTTGTTTGGAGCAACCCCCACAGCTTTTCTCTATTTTTGTTGTGTTTTTTCCAAATATCTTCTGCATACTCGACGAGATCGGGGTTGTGCACATAGTAGAATCGTTGTAGTAACTCAACCGGATCTTCAATGGGTGGATTGGAGGGCGTGACACCCCATGGTCGTTGAAAATCGCTCTTGTCTAAAACCCAACCGGAAATACCAATGGTACGAAAGAGTTGTGCTTTGGGGGCTGCTGCAGTTGTTGTGGATGAGTCGTCGGCTGGCAATAATTCCTGATGAATGATAAACTCGGTAAGTCCCGAGACTCGTCGATTCATTTTGTAGGCCGCGAGTGATCCACCGGCCACTCCAAACAAGGAAACGACGGCCGCCGACGATGCCAGAGACAAAAAGGTCCCCGCCATGGCCCCCAAACCAAGGGCTGCCAATCCCGCGGCAATGCCCGGAGCGGCCAAGCCTCCCGTGACGGCGAGCAGAATTCCAGCACCGACACCGACGGATCCAATTTGGACGCCTTTCCATATATTACTCGCCAAGGATGATTTGCGTTGTTGTTGTTGGGATGAGACTTTGTCTGGTTCTTCGGCGCTCTTTTTGTTGGCAGCACTGGCCGCCAGAATGAGCAATCGATCGGAACAGCACGTCTCGAGTGCTTCGAATTTGCGTGTGGCGGCTGCCAAGCGCGATGATTTGTTGTGGTTGTTGGAGCCGTGTTGTTGTTGTTGTTGTTGTTGTTCCATTTGTTGTTGTATCCACAAAGTGACGGCCAGAGTTTTGAACCAAAATCGGACTCTCGCATCGTATCCAGTACTTCCGGCATTGAGCAAGTGTTGAAAGAGCAAACAACTCAAACATTGATAGCCCGATGTCGTAGTGCCGAGTCTCTCCAAATAATTTTGCAGCGTGTCATTGTCTTGTACCCAATCGAGTGATTCCAAGCTGGTGCTGCTGTGATACAATTGTTTGGCGTTGTGTTGGGCGGTCTCTTCCGGGTGTTCCAAGACTTCTTTCAGTTGCTGTTTTGTTTGCTGCTGGTTGTTGTTGTTGATATTGTTGCCAATGTGTTTTTCTCGAACGGTAGGTTCTAACAAAGTGTCCAGTTTGGGCAAAAATTCATTGTGGACCAAGACAGTCGAGGGTTCATCGAGCTGCAAGTGTTGGGCTGCACTCATGACAAAATCACGAGCGACTTGGTAGCGACGAACACAGTGCTGTCGTTCGGATTCGGACAAATCTGCGGTAGATTCTTTGAAGATGCTTCGCGACGACGACTCTTCCTTGGCTGCTGCTGCTGCTGGCTCATCCTCTAAACTTTCCAGGCTCTTGAATCCTTGGTCTTTGCTGTCTTCAATAATCAAATCAAACACATACGAAGAAGCCACGACGTGTGCCAAGCAGCCCTGACGAATAGATAGAGAAGAGAGAAGAAGAGAGGTAAGATGAGTCACACAACACAAGAGACAGAAAGGCAATGAGAAGGAAGAACACGAACTCACCAGAAAGATCGTACGGTCTTCCATGGAAGGCAGATCGCTGTTGGCTGCGGGCTCAGAATCGCCATTTTCTGTAGCTGTGGACGCCATTATACTCTTTATCCTCTTCAAACAATCTATCTCTCTGTTGCTTCTACCTTTACCGTACTTGTACAACTATACCGCTGATTGGGAAGAAAGCTAAGTGAGAAGCCTCGATCTTCACAGGTGAGGAGGATGCAATGTTCCGTTTGAGGTGAGCGAGAATACTACTAATAGAAACGAAGACCAACAAAGACTGAAAAATCTGGCGAGCTCTCGAATTGCGTTCTTCTGCCGGGATCAGTCACGCATGAAGCGGGATCCAGTTTTCTTTCAAGCTTGTCCCGAACCTTGACAGAGCTTTTACATCATCTATCTCTTTGCGGCTGAAGGCTGAAGGCTGAGTGACAGTGAGTCACTCGGAGGAAATGGAGCAGCATGCTACCGAATTCCTATACATGTAGTTGCTTGTCAGCCTCCGTTGCACTAGCTAGCTTTCACACTGTGGACGCTACCATACCCTTCCCGCCGCCTTGCCTGATACTGATCTTGAAGAAGATCTGGCCAGCCAGACAAACTCCTAATGTAAACTACATGTACAATGTTGAAAAGGCCCACAAATACTGCTACCAAGATAGATGTCAGTGTCTCTTCTTTGAGTGTGTGTAGGATTAAGTATTATTAACATAGTGCCTTCGAGTTAGCTAGTCCAGATCTGGGCTATACAGTACTGTAGTTTTCTTGGATCCAAGTGAACCAAGAAAAACTACAAGCAAGGAAGTGGATTTGTGTCCCGAACAAAGTCTTGTCGTTCGTATCGTATCGGGTGTACAAGATCGATCCAGAGAGGAAGAAGAATAAAAGTAGCGCGAATTTGTTGGTTTGATTTGGCAGCCTTGGGCGTGGGTTCAAGCCATCCATCCATCATTCACTCGGGGTAGTCTTCGGCATGCATACAATGTCGGGGAGCCGACGAATTCTTGATTTGTTGGAGCCACTCTTCCGCTTGGAGTTGACCAGCATGTGTTTCCAGCAGCAGGAGCATTGCTTGAGGGTCCAGTTCTGTCACAGACTTGTTCTTATTCTTATTCTTTCGCCGATAATTCTTCCTTTCGCTCGTGATGCTGCTGTTCGATGCATCATCGCAGGTTGTGGTGGTGTCTTCCACAACATCCTTTGCAGAATGATCCTCTACTTTATTGTGGAGCTTCCTTCGACCGCCGAGCAGTGGAAATGAGCGGACCAGAGACTTCATCGTGTTCTAATGTTAGGGAAGGATTGGGATAGATGAATGAATGATGATCAGATTTGACTCAACTTTTATGGAGCTTCGTTGTGGCATATTGTGAGAGGGGGATGCCGCAGGACGTTTCGTTGGCTGGTTTCTTCTGTCTTCTGTTTTCCACTTTCCACTGAGATCTCGGGTCTCGGAACACTTTTGTCTGAGTGTCTGTGCAGTATTATTTATCGCAATTTTTTAGAATGACCTCCATTTTCCACACAACCTACCAGTTACTTTAATCTTTCAAAGTCACCTTCTGAGAAGGAGAGTACCAACAACCCAGTTTTTCCTTTTCTGAAAATGTCCAACATACGTACACACTTTGTACATGTAGGTAGAAGGTAGAAGGTGTGAAGGATAGTTTTGCAGTTTTCCGAATGCCCTTTGTCTTCTTGTACACTCCTACCTTGATATTAAGATATCTCTAAGTTCACGCACCTGAACCCTGAAGGCATAATATTATTTTTTAAAAATAGCAACCACTCAAATATCTGTACTGAGAATCTTCTTAGCATTTTGCTAAACTTCAGGGTGCAAAGGCAACATCTTATCTTTCTTGCCTTTCTATTGACCATACTAGTAGTATGGTACATACCAACATTGCTACTCTGCTTCCCACCTTACCTGGTACTGAACATACCCTTAGGAGAAGAGAGGAAAGAGCAGTGTATCATCCATCTGCTGGAGGCGAAAGTTTTGACTTTTGGCGCCTGTTTTTTTTAAAAGGCATTTTGTTGTAGAAAAGTGTCATTATTGCATCTCTCAATCTCTTATGTGCCCAAGGGAGAGTGCTTACTGGCTATCTTACCGGTAGCTCTAGTGCAGATCTGAGTGTCTGAGTGTCTCAGTCAAGTATCTTTTTTAAAATCATTCCAGCAAATCTCAGGACTGGTCTTGACATCTTATCTCGGATGTGCTTTTAATATCAAGGGAGGATCGTACTCTTGTATTCTCCAAATAGGTCGTGTGCTTCCACAGCATTCTTGCGTCCAAGCAAAACAATGGTACCAATAGGTGTTCAAGTACTGATGCCGATGCCAAAGCCAAGTGGCATGGAGCTACGTAGCTGCGAAGTTCATGACAATGTATCATAGCGGCGGGATGTGCGATGGTGGAGCCATAATGAAGAGTTTCATGAAGCCAGCTCAGTATCGGAGCTAAGAAATTGTGTTTATCATGCATCGTATGTCATACCTGGATGCAGACAGTATGAAGCGTCCCTTTGTCTCTCTGCTGCCATTTGACCACAGCAACTCAAACTTGCTTGTCTAACTACATGTAGTAGCACTTACTGCGGCGGCAAAGCCCGCAAGACCCTAAAATCCTTTGGCTACTCTTTGGAAGCACAGCAAAGGGTAAGGCATCATGAAAATGTTGGCTTCAAAACACCACCCAATTTGCAAACTTTCTCGCCTGGCTTTGGAGTCGGAACAGGGATCTTGGAGTTGGTCCCCCGTGTGGGGCCAGGAGAAAAATTTGGAAAATCCCTTTGTGCCTGCAATTGGTGGCACGAGCTCAGCGACAGTCAATCGCAGAGCTTTGCCGCCGCCGCCAGCGCCGTCGTTGCCACTCTTGTTGTTGTTGCCGCCTTTTTTGTCGTCGTCCTCATCGTCGTCGCCGTCGCCATCGTCACATCGTCACACGCTCAGCATCAGGTTAAGCTTAAGTGCTGGATTCACCAAAGCGGCCCATGCGCGTTGCGGTGTGACCTGCGCTATGTTCTTTTAAAAAAACCTTTTCCCCAAAGCCACTTGAGCGAACAGCAATCCGCCCACAAATCACGAATGTGTCGCCTTGGGCAAAACATGCAGAGAAACTACTACCAGGTAGCAAGTTCCCACTAGACCAACCCCCTACTCGATACCGTAGGAAGCAATCGTCCGCCAGCATCAGCGCTTCGATTGATTGACCGAGGATTGGAAGAACGCGCAGGATCAGGTGTTTGGATTTTCCTGGACGAGCATGATTTTGTTGGCGAAAGAGAAGGCAGCATGAACGAAAATACAGTGCAAGCAAAGCGTCCCAGTGAGGAAGATGGCGGCAGTAACAATTCCGCCTCCAAAGCTACAAGATCTGCAGTGGCAAAGGCAGGTCCTTCAAACGCAAGAGAAGAGGTTGTACGTAGTCCTCGGGGTGTGGAAGTTCCAGCCGTTGGTGGAACGCCAACAAAAATTCCCACAGACGGCGAGATGCAGACAGAATTCGCAGCAGACGACACTATGGCCGCCGCCGACACCGTTGGAATCTACAAGTTCCCGAACTTCGTACGGGGGGTTCTCAGGGAGAGGATCACCAAGCTGCAGAATTTTCCCACAACCGACTTCAATTACACGAATGGGTTGACGCGCCGCTTGGAAGGTATGCTACAGAAGGATGATTCTGACGATCCCGACATGGATCGTCTTGCGGCCGATCTGGCGATTGTGGTGTCCCGTGTGGCCCATGCACAAGACCGCCATGATAATGATTGGGTTGACCAAGACACGTTTCGCCAAGAGAAATGGCTGGAGGAGCAGTGTTCATTCCGCGCCGCCCTGCTGCGCCTGGACTCGGTGCAGAGTTTTATGGCGGCTGTACAATCCTCGCATCCACGACCTTTGACATGCAAGGAGAAACAGCAGCTTATCGAATGGCATCAAAAAGCGCGTGAACCGAATCCTCCGCTCCTTGATGGCACCAAGATGACAGAATTCCTCAACGCCCAAACGATTTACTTTCTTGCCGGTGGAACAGGCAATTTGCGTTTGTGTGGCCTATCGTCCTTTGATGGCACACACGTCTACGTGGTTGATGAGGACGCCGGAAGCACCATTCCTCACGAGCTAGAGCAAAACCTCCGTCGCTACATCGAAGTGGATCCCCATGAGCAGGCCCGGCTTGTGTCGCCCTCGAAGGACCCCACCTTGCGAATCAAAAATTCGCAAGGTGAATCCCTGCAGTGCGAAGCGGGCTTCGTAATGGAAAAGAAGAATGGGCGCAAAGTGCCCGATGACTTGATTGGTCCTTTTTCCGCTCGTTGGAATCGGCGCTTTCTCAAGTAATGTGGACGGACTGTTTTGCAGACTCGACTCGGAAAATGGAATGCACCTTGAATTGTCGTTGTCTGAACATTTGGGGAGGGGTTAGGCGGCGCTTCACCTTGTTGGGGGGTTAGGCACAGAGGAGGGGGGAGAGAAGAGAGGAAAAGAAGAGGAGGATTCCCAGTTCCTATCAGATTTGGGGGTGGTGCTGGGGGTGATTGATAACCTGCCATCCAAGCATTCAATACAAAGGTAACTCTATCCTGATGCACGTCAAAAGAGGGGGTAAGCAGACTTTCTTTGAAGTCCTCTACTTCAAAACATTTCCCCGAGCATTTGTTACATGTACGAAAGCTATAACTTTATATTGTTGGCTTGCATTGCGTACATTTGTCTCTCATCTGGCATCTTATCACAGGCATCTTTACAAGCCTTGGATCTTGAATAGTCCGAGTAGATAGATAGTCTTGGACCAGATGAGGTTTAGATCTAGCCCAATGCAAGTTTGGTGGTTGGAAGTCTTGTACTGACACGAGTAATAAGGAAAGAACCGACCTACACTGCCGTCTTTTCATACTGTTCATACCATGCAGAATGCAGAATGAGGCGCAAACTTGGTCAAGGAGGGTCCAAAATCGTAGGGATCATTCTTGGGGTCGTCGGGTTTGAAGAAAATCTGATGCGGTTTGGGGATTCCCGTGACGACATTCAATGGGTGGTCAGCTCCTTCTTTTCTGCGGACTCTACCATCTTCTAGGTAATAATTTCCATCTGGAGCTTTGTAGAGTTGTCGGCTTTCCACTTTGGCGTTGGGATTCCAGCGTGTCTCGGTTTTCCCATTCCATTGCTCGTGCCGATATGTCATTTGACCATACTCTTTATATCCCCACTGTCCACCTGGCATGGCTCCTGGTGGCACAGTCGTGGTGACGATTTCCAGGGCTCCTTGGGTCTTCTGAATCACTTCACTCAAATCCCGAGCGTGTCGTCGTTTGGCGGAAACACCGTTTATCGTTAGAACCATCTGGCCCTCTCTGACAGAAGTTCCTTGAAAAAGACTGTTCTGGTGCACTTGTGAGACCACCACAGCAAAGCCACCAGGGCCATCTTTGAGGCTTATCCCTGTCTTGGCTCCGTAGGGTTTGTCAACTGTACTCGAGAAACGATGATTGACCATGCGTGGATGAATGTATGAATACGGTATGAATGTATTGTGTGCAACACTATAATGGTAATCGACTTTTTGAGCTCTCGGAAGTTATGAGCTGCTTCCGTGCCGTAGAACGGCGGTAGGAGCGGAAACGGTACAATGTACTGTACCGGTACCGGTATGACTGCAGGTGACCGCGGAACACCAATGAACCTCCTTTTCACACCCGCTGTAGATCACACACATCTACCGGCTACCGGTACCAACACTGGTACTAGTACACCCAAGCACCCAACCTAATACCATAGTTTCACCTGGAAGCTCACCTGGATAAACTCCTGGCCACTCGCGGTTCCACACCTGGACTCCTGGACTCAAACTCTGACCCCCTGAACAGAAAAGTCCACGGTCCACTTCAGACCATTCAGAGGACCCACACGTGGGCAAATAGCTACCCAGCTATCACACTCCACCCAGGTCTCATATCAGGCCCCCGAACCAAAGAAGCAAAGCTTGGACCTTTGCTGCTTGGTCCATCTCCTGGTCTCACTCCTTGACTACTCGTAAGTTTAGACCCCGGGCCCAAGTCCACAGCAAAAAGTATGAGGATCAACAACTAACTAATAACTGCACCCGGTACTGGTACATGTAGATAGGTACAGTGCCAGACCTTGTGGTAAATGTAGGAAACTCCTCCACCCTTGCGCAAGTCCCAGCCAAAACAAAAGCGTGCATGGACCGAGTTGAGTGAATTCCGTCTCCTGAGACGGCGCTCCTTTTGGTTACCCCCTCAGTTGCACTGCAAAATCGATTGGCTCGCGTTTACTGTGTAAATTAGTGTACCCGCACTTCAGTTGCAGAATCAACGGTCATGTGTATCCGTAAGTACCAAACCTGTACTTAACGTGTTTTATCGATTCGTGGATAAAAAGAACCGTTGAAGATACTAAGGTTAAGGTTAAACTAATTCAATGGCATGCGCACGTACCGGTACTGGTACAGTCCAGCAAATCCATCATTGAAGGTGCAGCATGACTTCTCTTCTGAATTTCTATGGAAACAGAGAGAGAAATCCAAGCTTGGCCGACAAAGATGGTGTTGGAACGATCAATCGAATGTCGCAATGAGGTAAGCCTATTATCAAGAGTGTTAATTGAAGGTACAGCGCTGACTTCTCTCCTCTTCAATTCCTATGGTAAACAGGGAGAGATTCCGAGCTCGGCGTCAACAGGTGAGTTGGTTAATTATTCGAATCGAATCAATCGATCGCACCTCTATTATTATTCAAGCCTCAATCAAACCGTCCTTCTCTGGTGCAAATTCAAAAGCCATCCCTCATTAATCCTATGGACCGGGGAAGCAGTCAGTTCTCGGCCCATGACGGCCAAGTTGGTGCAATTTGAAAAACAATGGTAAGTCTCCGGTCGTCTGCAGTTGAGCACAGAAAACAAAACTCATATCTATTTGTTGTTTTCTCTGCTGTACTGCTGACGGCCGAGGAAATCCCATTGTCGAACGAACGATCGGTCGCTCCGGAGAACAAGAAGAGGAGAGGCTACCACTACCGGTACGGAGGAGACTGTTAACTCCAGCCCTACCAACTACCAACAGTCTGAACGGATCGTCGTCGAGTCATTGAACGGCGACAGTCAACCGGAGGAGGCGACAACACACAAGAGAGTGGATCCTACTACTGGATTCACCCCTCCAGTGTTATTTCATAGTGTTTTGGTGGTGATTCTGTGCTGGTACCCATTTTCCCGTGGGAACAGTGCTTGTGGAGGCTGGATTGACAATATTCATAATGTTCGGTTGTGCATGTATTCGTCATAAGGATCCAATGCAAGATACGGCAACGAGTGTAGCCAGCAAAGCGGAACCTGAGTGTGTTCGGTACTGTTGACACTGTTGCCGATGTAACTGTACGGTAGCCGGCTACAATGGCTGATTAACAATATTCGGTTTTGTGCATGTATTCGTCATAAGGATCCAATGCGAGGTACCGGTAACCATAGTGAGCAAAGCCGAACTTTCGGTACTGTTGCCACTGTCGCGATGATGACTTACCGAGCGGCTACAATGGCTGGATTCATAATGTTCGGTTGTGCATGATTCGTCATAAGGATCCAATGCAAGATACCGGCAACGGAGTGTAGCCAGCAAAGCGGAACCTGAGTGTGTTCGGTACTGTGACACTGTTGCCGATGTAATGTACGGTAGCCGGCTACAATGGCTGGATTAACAATATTCGTTTTGTGCATGTATTCGTCATAAGGATCCAATGTGAGGTACGGTAACCATAGTGAGCAAAGCCGAACTTTCGGTACTGTTGCCACTGTCGTCGATGTAGCTATACCGCAGCCGGCTACAATGGCTGATTCATAATGTTCGGTTGTGCATGGATTCGTCATAAGGATCCAATGCAAGATACCGGCAACGGAGTGTAGCCAGCAAAGCGGAATCTGAGTGTGTTCGGTACTGTTGATCCTGTCGCGATGTAACTGTACGGTAGCAACTGAGCCGGCTACAATGGCTGGATTAACAATATTCGGTTTTGTGCATGTATTCGTCGTACGGATCCAATGCGAGGTAACCGAGTGCAGCGAGGAAAGTCGAACCTGAGTGTGTTCGGTACTGTTGCCACTGTCACTGATCGATGCACTCTACGGTAGCTGGCTACGATGGCTGGATTGACAATGTTCGGTTGTTGCATGGATTCGTCATAAGGATCCAATGAAAGGTACCGGTAACGGAGTGTAGCCAGTAAGCGGAACCTGAGTGTGTTCCGTACTGTTGCCACTGTCACGGATCGATGTAACTCTCTGCCTACGGTATCGTAGATTGGGTGTATTCGTCATATGGATCCGATCCAAGTAGCCAGCAAACTGAGGAAAACAGGAGACGAACGCTGAAAAAAAGCCGAATGACACTCAGTCCTGCTAACCTCCATCTCTGTAGGGTTGAGGCTACTCAACTGTCACCAACCATTGTTTTCGAAACCTGTCTATCGCCTCTTCGAAGTGGTTCCAATGACGACAACCACCACAACACAAAAGGACAACCACAACAAGAGCAACCAACACCACAAGACTGAAATAAATACTAAATTCGTAGCAGGACAGACAGACAAAAAGACGACACCATCCATTATTATGCAATGCCACTACGAAGTGTTGGGAGTGGACCAAGATGCGGATTCTTCCACAATCAAAAAGGCACATCGCAAGTTGGCCATTAAATTACATCCGGACAAGAACTTGAACAACCCGGATGCCGTGGAGCAATTTCGTTTGGTCCAAGAAGCGTACGAATGTTTGTCGGATCCTTCCGAACGCAAATGGTATGACGAACACCGCGATGCTCTACTAAAAGGATGGTCCCCATCTGGCGGTGACAATGGCGATCATTCGGAAATGCTGTTTGACGTCATTCCGTTTATGCATGCGCATTGTTACACCGGTTATGCCGAGGATGACCAGAGTTTCTACACCATTTATGGACACGTCTTTGCCAGTATTTCCAAAGAAGAAGCCGATGCTGTCGAGAGCAATACTAGTAATAACAATACACACCAGCTGCCCCACGAATTTGGAAATTCAAAAACCGACTTGTCAAGTGTGGCCTCCTTTTATCAATTGTGGGAAGGATTTGTTTCCCAACAAACGTTTGCGTGGGCCGACCAATACGATGTCAATGAGGCCGAAAATCGAAGAATTCGACGGGCCATGGAAGACGAAAACAAAAAGGCTCGCAAGACGGCACGAAAAGCCCGCAATGATGATATACTTGCGTTGGTGAAATTTGTCAAACGACGAGATCCTCGTATGAAACAACTCAAACAACAGCAAGAAGAGAAAAAGGCACTCCAACTGGCAGAGAAAAAACTGGTCGACCAACAAAAGAAACAAGACCAACAAGTGGCACGCGACAAATGGCGACAACAAGCCGATCAAGATATGGCACACACGGAAGAAATGGATCGATTGGCGGGACGAGTACGACTGGCCGATTTGGAAGATGATTATGATTACGGTGGTGGCAAGAAGAAGAAAAAGGGAAAAAAGAAAAAGGGGCGCAATCAACAACAGCAACAACAAGAAGAGGAGGAGGAATTCAATGACGACGGGGAAACTGGAGAAAACGCGGAAACAGCAGCAGCACAAATAGTACTGGATGATACAACCAATGACACACAAAATAATGAGGACGACAAACCTGCCCTTGTGGATCAGGGAGAAGGAGATCCAGACGAGACACTGTCAAAACCAATATCAACAGAACTCGATGAAACAGAGCCAGAAGAGCAATTTGATTCGTCTTCCGAGGAGGAAGAGGAGGAAGAGGAACCAGACTTTTGGAGGTGTGATTGCTGTAAGAAGGACTTTAAGAGTCAAGGACAGATGGACAATCACATGAAGAGCAAAAAACACAAGGAAGCTTACAAAAAGTATCTCAAGAAAATGGGGCAGAACTAATCAATCATCACATCACAGCAAGGATGATTGCAGGAACAGAACAACACAAGACAAACAATCCATGCTCTGGTTGGTTGGTTGGTAGCCACACAAAGTTGGGCACCAAAAGTTGGGCATTTTGTCTGTTACACGGAATTGCCCAGCTGGTACTGTAAAGTTGGGCGGAATTGCCGGTCTCGGTATCATCCAAACAGCTTTGGGCAACAACTAGCCAGTTCGTGGTGGAACGGCGGCAGCCTTTTCCCGGCCATGGCGAAGCGATTTTGATGGCTCTCTTATACGATAGCCAGCCGCTTGGGTTATCCCGGCAACTCATGTTGACAAAAGCACTACCTGCAGTTGCGCACCACTACCAACTCTTCCCTCCTAGAATAGGCCAGCATAACCATTTGACCATCCTAAGAGCGTACGAGTTTTAATGTAGTCAGAGCCTCTCTTGAATAGGAATTGACTTTGTCCAAGTTTAGTTGACCTCATCATCCTGTTGTACCGGTACTACTAGCATGAGCAGAAGCTCAGTAATTGCCGTCATCGACAACATAGCCAAGGCGGAAACTGATGACAGTAGCTGTTTTAAAACATTTTGAGAGAAAGCAATCATGGCATCATCTCTTGTTCAGGTTGTCACGCCCTTCTGCCTAGCAATTGAACAAGCGCTGCACGGAACAACCAAGAAAGTATGGAGATACACCCGATAACTCTGCAAACGGGCTACCGTGAAGGCAGGATGCCCTGCCCGTCTCGGCATGCACCAGGAGGCAGTTTAGGGAGCACGACCTAAACAAGGGCAAGTACGAAACACTTTTCTATTGGTAGGGTGTCAAACAACTTTTTGTTTGGTGTTTATTGCTCCCCTTCTATGCGTTACATGTTTCAAAAAGGGTGCAATGGCAGACCTGTTGAGCAATCGTCTAGCAGAAGCTGGCATGCGCCCAAATCTACGAACTGAATCCATCTCTATGATCGTCTTTGCATGTTCCAAGGGTGCCAGTCGAAACTCCTTTTCAACTCCTCCGGGGAAAAAGTGTGCAACTGTCCAAAGAGCTTGTCGAGGACTATGCCCTGTGAAAGCCTTGAAATTGTTTGCTGGGGTCAAGTCGATGCCATCCCAATATGCATTTGCCAAGGTTTCAAAATTTTGAGTAGGATGTCGAGCCAATGCTGTCAATGCTGGTGCTATGTTCGTTGTGTACTCGTCAGCAACAAACTTCTTGGCAGTGGCAAGGCTGGAGCACACATTGTACTTATCCTCTATTCCCAGCTCCTTCCCAAGAGCCCACCACAGAAAAACAAAGTCTTCCAGTCCACGCTGGTCATGAATTCCAAGCCTCTTTGGATTTGTGACAACCATGGCGACGAACGAAGCTTGAGTTCTCGCCATGACCGACTGAATGAACTCTGCTTTGTTTGATCCTTTTGCACCAGTGTGAGGACAAGTCAATTTGACAAGGTTACGTGCTGCTGCTGAAAAGGGACACTTGGATGATTTGGTGTCAGCTTTGGCAGCAATGGAAGCAGCAGCACGATGGTGCATTGATTTGACAGCCCGAAGCTGTCTTACAGCTGGAGAGCTGGGGTCAAATAGGTCTTGAGTGTGCCAGTACAACATGTCTCGGAAAGTCCGCATGTATCGCTGTTGGGCCTTCTCTGCAGTGTTTGTTGCCTTAGTAGAAAGAAGGGCACTAGCCATTTCGGTGTCGGCAAAGCCTACAACTATGATGAGGGCCCATGAATTGGCAATCACCACCATATTGTCCTGAAAGAACTGTTGACCTCGTCTGATTCGTGCTGCATTGTACTGTGATGGATTCAGGGCAACAGACTTGGATGTTTGTGGTGATGCCGACTTCAATGCCATTGGTGCAGTTGCTTGCTTGGTTGGACTCTGATGGAATGCCCTGGCCTTTACGTTGCTGTCAACGATGTATCCACTGGTCTGGGAAAGGAGAACGAGAAAGAGCTGACCCAGGAAAGCTCCAACAAGGAAAAATGTTGGCTTGATCATTGTCATCTTTTGGTTTTTGGAAATACGAGAGAAAATCTAATGATCCATTCACAAAGGGAAGTAGAAAGGGAGTTTGCTAGAAACTCCAGAAAACCTCTGGCTAGATACGCATATACATGGCTACTAACGGTAGAAAGATCGAACCAACAGTGATTTGAAAAAGAAATTAGAGTGGCGCCGCTGGTTGGTGAAGCCACTGGATTCGTACTGGATAGATGGAACCAACAGTGATTGGAAAATGCATCGCTACCAGTACCGACAGGATTGGAAAACCAACAACCGAAAAAGTTACCACAGAGCAAAGCCTGTGTTTTGGGATATCATTCCATTCGGCAGTTAGTGAGCGCTGTAAACTTACTTACTTTCAAGCAGTTCAGTCACTTTTTGCTACTTTCGTGTGCGACCTCTGGCTGTGCTAACTACTACCGGTAGTGCATAGCTACTGGTACCGACTTGAAAGCAGGTCTCATGAAACCATTAGAGCTGTCAATACATTGTAGCAACGACCAGACGTGTATCGAAGTCTGCTTCGAATCATCGAGTCGAGTCGAATCGAATCGAATCGAATCGAATCCGTAGAGTTTTTCCTCCAAGAACTGTGCTTCCGCCAACGGAACCGCAAAGCAAAAAACAAAAGATCCTAAGCCCAAGCCCAAGCCGGCTGCAATACAGGACAGCGACACAGCATCTTTTCTCATTCGCGATGAGCTGAAGGTACGGGTACTGGTAGTCCTGCATTGGTCTGATTGCGCGAGCGGCCAACAGGAAGCACGGCACGGGAAAGCAGAGTCTGGCTTTGGCTGCTGGAAGAACACAAACAACGGGAGATTATTGGAGATACGATACAACCGCCATCATGAAGATCCAAATCAAGACACTGGCAGGAACCATTCTCGATTTGGAGGTGTCTCCATCAGACTCCATTGCGAATGTAAAGGAGAAAATCAGAGAAGCATGGGGTGCCCCACCAGAGCAGCAGAATCTTCGATACAATGAGGTGCTACTAGAAGAAGAATTGACAGACGACCAGAATAATCAGCAATCTGCAGTGACCTTGGCTGACTACGACATCGCTGATGGAGCCACATTGAACCTAATCCTTCGCGTGAGGGCAAGAACTAAAAGACCCGAAACGAAAATCCCACCTCCTCCAAAACAAGTGACGGATCCTCCGGGAGTTCATTATTCGTCTACGTTTCTGGTGCCAGACGACGACGACGAAGAAGAAGAAAAGGTGTCGGTTGATCAGGAGCCTGGTCGCGCAACGGCAGCCACAGCGGGTCCTGTTGTTCCGCCCAGCAGTCATGTTTCTCTCCCCACGGGTGGAGCAGTGTGGACGCCGACTATGATTGATCTCAAAACAGAAGGAGTAGGAGTCTGTGATGAACCACTTCCAATTCCTGCTCCCAGGCCACAATCTCCACAACAATACGTAGCTGAGGCTCTCCTTGCGCCTGCTACTCTTGTTCACGACGAAGGCCCAAACATGGAAACAATAGAGTATGAGGCGTACGGTGCGCCACCTGGCAGACGCCTTTGTCTTCTTCTTTGCTTCGGCTGTTTAATCCTGATCGGTGTTGGTGTGGCGGCTGCCGTTGTCGTTGGAACTGATAGTGCAGGCGAACCTGTTGCGATAGATATCCCACCAACTGCAGCGCCGACTGGACCAAGATTCAGCGAATTTACATTTGCTCCAACTGCCTATCCCAGTTTTGATACTGCCGCTGATGACGGATTCTTGGGATTTGACGATGCTTTTCCAATCGAAACAAGTCAAGCACCTTCTGGGGCCCCGACTCTTTCGCAAGCTCCCAGCAATGTACCTTCTGGGGTCCCAACTCTATCACAAGCGCCCAGTGTCATGCCATCTGCGACTCCAACGTTGTCGCCCTCGCCAGTGGAACAGCTGATTGGTTGGCCAATAGCGCTCATGGTTGGGGCTGTGATGCTTCTCGGATTTGCATCCATCTGGTTCTATAGGCGCCGGGGTGGGAAAGATTCCGCAGGAGTCGATTCCGGCGGTGACCTACAGCAAAAAGTTGACGATTCCAAAGCGGGTTCTTCTTCCACACCCGACGACGTGGAAGAAGGCATCACTGCACCACCAGAGACCCAAGAGAATCTCCTTCCTCCGATGCCGCTTCCCAAACTAGATGAACAGTCTCCTGTCATTGATGATGAAGGAAATGATGGCGCAGTCATACGGGAGAATCAGTCAAAAGAGTTGCTCGGTGTGAGCGTAGCTTGGCTCAAGCACGGTTTGCTGAACGAAGTTCGTGATGCAGGTTTAGACGAAAGTGCAACAATCTATGACCTGGAAAGCTTGAATGAAGGGGGGCGATCCATCATCCGGGCAAAGGGGCAAAATGTGGTCTGTCCATTGGATGGTAGAATGGGTGCAGCTTATGTCCACGCGCTGGATAGCCAGCATGTTGGTCCCGCAACCCGAATGCTCAGCTATTCTTGGTCCTACGCGATAGGGGATATTGTGGACACTCTGATGGACTACTGTCTGGCTCAGAATCTGAATCCCAAGCACACGTTTGTCTGGCTTTGCTGTCTATGTTGCAATCAGCACCGTGTTGCAGAGAACATCAAGCTGGGCATGGAGGTTCCATTCCATGTCTTCAGAGACATCTTTCACAGCAGAGTCATTGGCATTGGTCACCTGCTCGCAATGATGAGCCCTTGGCATGAACCCAGGTATCTTTCTAGGGTCTGGTAAGTTTGTGAAAACAGCATGTGTTGTCTCGTTCTATTGCTGTCGTCTCACACTATGTCATGGATTCACATCAGGTGTATCTATGAGATGTTCATAGCCTCATTCCAGAATAGCGGTGTGAGAGTATCCATAGTAATGCCACCGAGAGAGAAACAAGATATGGCAAGGACCATTGGCTTGAAGGGGGGCGAGGGATTGGATCAGCTGTATCGAACCCTGGGAAGAACAAAAGTTGAAAATGCTGAGGCATCACAAGTGGAAGATAAAACCAATATTTTGAAGATGGTTGAAGCAGGACCTGGCTTTCGAACTCTCAATGTAAGGGTGAATGATTTGCTGAGGCAGTGGGTGACGGATTCAACTCTGGCGGTGGTAAACACGCTAATGGACATGCGCCAGAAATCAACATTCCAGGAGGAACCAGGAGTGGGATTTAGGAGTCGTGAACTGGTCATTATGGACACAACAGCAGATTCAAGCATCGCAGCTACCCGTGCTTTCACAGACCAACCGACAACAAGTCTTCTTCAAGCACAGGACGGAAGCTTCCGGTGGGATCAGGCAATATCACCGGAAGATTTCAACCTGTCGGATAGTGAGTTTGCTGACTTCCTTTCAAACATGGGGGTGCTCTTCCAGAAAAATGGCGAGCACAAGCTAGCCCTCCACTACCAGAACATGGCCCTGAAAACCTACACATCAATTGGTGCCAGCCATGGTGAAGCAGCTGCGTACTCCAACATTGGGACAGTGCTGCACAAGCAAGGGGACTTGGAAGGGGCACTGAGGAATCACCAAAAATCGCTGACTCTAAGAGAATCTTCAGCTGCAGATACACATGAAGGAACCACAACCCGCCAGAGGGCAGCATCACTCAACAATATTGCATCAGTGCTTCTTGAACAAGGCGACTTTGTTGGGGCCCTAGACAAGTGTCACAATGCCTTGGCCATTCTAGAGAAGCAAGAGTGCCCTGAAGCAGCAACATCACAGATGGTAGAAGGTTTGGTGCAATTCAAACAAGGCAATCACAAGCAAGCCCTTGAGCTCTCTCAGAATGCACTAAAATCCCGTGAGGCAATCCTAGGGATGTATCACCCAGAAACAGCTGAGTCATATCACCAGATTGGTCACATGCTGCATCAAATGAATGAGAGCAGTGACCTTGCAATAGAATTCTTCCAACAGGCTCTTGCAATTCGTGAGTCTGTCCTGGGTTCAGACCACCCAGACACAAATGAATCCCGGGAAAGAGCTGATGAGATTTCATGGGCACTGGAAGCTGAAGATTTTGAAACCAACATGGTGAATTCTGAGATGAGTCCTCTGGTGGTGCGGGCTCATTGACATGAATACTGGAGGGGTCCAGCTTGAGGCCCATTGGGGCTATTCGTGCAAAGCAGAAGAAAGCCATCACTCCTCCGAGTACAGACAGAATCCAACACCTGGGTGTTCCTGCTGGATTAGCATTGTACTGTCACGTTGATTTCATGATGACTCTTTGTCTGTGGTGTAGCCAACCTGCACAAATTCTTGGGAGACAAACATGAAACTAATAATGAGGTCAAACCAAGCTGAATTCCTCATCAGTACCACGGAACCTTCGCTGTCGAGAATGTATACCAGCGATGAGGGTGTCATGTACCAGCTGGCTAGATCAGCAGCTGTACAACAGTGCTACGGACGTCATTACAACAATGCATTATGAAGCAGTATAAAACAATATAAAACAACATCAAGAGTGATATCAAGAGTAAAGTGAAACATCAAACGGCACAACGGCACATCTGTCCTGTGTCTTCTTTCCCCACCATAAATGCGGACAGTTGCTTGTGTCGTGCGGAGACATCATCTTTTCCTTCCCTTGGGCCTCTACAGAGGACGCATTTCCATCTCAGTGACATCCTGCATCATTTCTGCCACGATTTCCTGCCCCTTTTCTTTCCACTCGTCCCTGTTTTGAATGGCGCTGCGCGACCGCGATGAGGTGGGTCAAATCATCAATGATTAGTTGGCAAATCTACTTCACAGTCCATAAAGCTTCGGCTTCTGATACTTACTAGTTCAGACATTCATCGCTGGAGACACCAAACACTTGGCAATCCTTCAGCTTCTTGGCCAGTGGGATGATATAGTTGTCAAAGAAGCCAATTTCTCCCTTGTACCAGAATTCACTGAAAAACGCAAAGCAAGGCATGCAGTGCCGTGAGATTTCCTTATATGTCCATCATACGATATGACAAAACCCTTTCCAATTCATACCTGGGATCCTTTGCCATGCGGCCTTCACAATACGCTCTGTACAGTTCCAAGAAGAGCCGCTGATTCCACTTGCGGTAAATGTGCCAGTGCTGCATTGTGTGCGAAACATCAGAAGCTTGGATGATGTGCTCGATGACAATTGTTGCACGAAGATCACGATTCTCGTCGTCAGAGATTTCTGTGGAGAATGCCCTCTCCCAGCGCTTCTTTCTCAGGCCATTCAATTCAGGGTCGAAGATATCTGTGGCCAGCACAACGTTGACGATCACCTGTTCCAAAGAACGAGTCTCAATCCATTGAGCACACCAGTGTCGAAATGAAGAGACAGAATGAAACGCAGCTTCAGGGTTACGTACCTGCCGGAATCGATACAGCTCCTTGTTGTTGGTAAAGAGGCAGTCACGCAGCTCCTCAAACTGCTCACCCATCAGGAGGTCCCAGGCAAGATCTAATGAGTTCTGGATTGGATGATTGGAGGAAGACGAGTGAATGTCAGAACAAAAGGATGGGCATGAGAGAAAGGATCTCTAGTCTCATGGGAGACGGCATTCTTCGTACCTGCTCTGCCACACTCTTGTTCCCATATCGTTCAAACATTTCCTGGTTTTCCTTCACCAACTGGCCATTGGAGACACCACGGTGGTCCCTGTGTACAAATGGTGGCATTGCAGTTAGCCACAGAACCGAGATCCACAGAAAAAGAGAAGCTACAGCCGAACTCACACATCATGGATAAGCGCACTAAAGACAATTGCTAGCAGGGTCAACGGATCCGAGTTGATGCCGTGCGTATAGTCATGCATTTTGGCTGCCATCTCCTTCTCTTCTCCCTTTCCAAGATCTGGCGTGACAATCCTCTTCAAAAACTTATTAGTGGCCATGGTGACGTCTGAAGACAAAATGAAAACGAAGGGGTCAGGATTCACTTCTGAAAGGAGACAAACTCCGCGGCATCAAGCGGTTACTTGTGAACTTACGACAAGCATGTTCTGTGGTATTCAAACGGAAGCGGATGAAAAGACAATGGTTGAGTTCTCTGTAGTGGAATCGGGGACAGCGCAGGGGGAGTATATAATAGTCAGCAGCTTGCTTCTCACCGAAATTATGGAAAGGATTATCGAGGTAGTGATTGGCAATGGTAGTGATGAATTTGTGAAGCTGTCGAATCACTATAGGGGACACGGGAACAAACTTTGGATCTTTGACGTCCGCAAGAGTCTTGGCGTTGAAGCGAGGCAGATAGATGACTTCAGCAACTTCGTCCAGGCTGGTTTGGTCCATTCTGGGCGTGTAATGCGCCCTCGGTGCTCTCTGAGCTCTGTTAGATGGTTTACTCCGTTGGGCCAACATCTTCTGGATGTGTTCCTTGAACAATTCAACCATCCAGTTGACCAAACGGGCTTGTTTCTTGGCAGCATTCGCATCGACAACGTTGGCCCCGGTGGAGACGGAAGCTGGAATTGGAGAGGGATTGTCGGAGAGGGTATCCGAGCTGTCTGCAGGAAGGAGGAGCCCAGCAGATCCATTTTCGTCCGAGTTGCTGCTAGCTTTGCGAGAGCCACTGATTTGGAGCCAGTACGTACGAAGGGTTCCTTTCCCTTTGGCTTTGACACAGTCCAAACGAGGCTTTACCCATGTATGCTTTCCGGCTTCCAGCAGAAGCTCGTAGGTTATGTGCGATATCTGAATCATGTCTCGTTCGCCAGTACTGGTACAGGAAAGAGTAAGAGTCAACTGTGTCAGCTGCAAGTTTTCGTAGCGGGAAGATCTTTCAAGTCGCAGCATTCAGGTTCTCCGTACCTTTCCATTCTTGCAGCGGTGTTGACTGTATCCCCAAATAACTGAGGTTTGAAAGCGGGAACGTTAGGGAGAGTCCTTCATAGAGCATGCATATGGGCAGAGAATGACGTGTCTGCACTCACCTGGAACCTAGCACGTTCACCTCGGAGCACCCCGGCTGTCACAGGCCCCTACGGTGCAGATTGAGAGAGTGAATATGTTAGTCACCCCAGTCTGATTGCTGCTCAAGATTCCACGAACAGGTCAACTCACTGAGTGAAGCCCAAATCTCATGGAAAGGTCTGCAGTGTCTGGCCCTAAGCTTGTCTCTAGCTGGTTCACCAGCTGGTTCATCTTGATGCGACATTCAGCAGCAAAACTACGGGGGCAAGATGAGAGGAGGGGTCTTTGGTACAAAAACACGCACCATCCAACCATTGTCCTTACCGAGACATTATCACAGCATGCATCTCTTGAGGCTCTGGAAGACCGGTTACCTGTGATGTTCAGAAGTGTTAAAATATTTGTGAGCGTGACCTAGTCCATTCCAAGTGCCCTCAGATCTGACAAGCCTCTCTTGATCCACTATGATTGCCGCGCAGTGTTCCCAGAAAACAGGCCACTCACCGCTACATAGCTGTCGCCTACACTCACGGAAGAAATACTTGTTAGCAGTTGTTTCCAAGACACGTGGCGTCTGATTCGCTGCATGCGGCAAACCTACCGATTGTTTCGACCTTGAAGACCTTTCTCCTCTTGGCAATTCGATCAAAGGCCTGATAAACTGCAACAAGGCAACCCAATGTGTTAGTCAACCTGGTTAGAGTGCCGAAACACAACCATACTGGGCGCCAACCGAGCCACTTGAAACCTACCAGTCTGAAGTAGGATGAACACTTGTGCCGGATCACGAGTGGAACTCCAGGCTGTAAAGCCAGAAATATCCGCAAATAGAACAGTGCAGTGCGGGAACAGATCGGCGATTGGGGCCAAGCACATGTCATCGTCCTCCACGCCATTCAAGTATCCCTTCAAACGGCGGTTCGGAGCCATGAAGGAACTGCTGCGCCCATTGGCGTCCTTAACAGGAGCCGCCTGCTGCATGAGTCGATCTCGGACTTGCTTGGGGAAGAGGGATGACACAATGGCGTTCGTCTGCTCGGCGTTGGCCATGACAAGTCGTTGTCTCCTCTCGACCAATCGATCATACATGATGAAGAGCAAGGCGGTGCATACAAAGATGAGTACCACAGCGGCTGTCATAAAGGCCGGGATGTTGGTGTTGTAGATGGAATGGAACTCATTGGACGGGTACACCTGCACGTTGACGTTGCAGTGACCCTGCATGATGGGCAGACCTTGTTCGGTTCCATCATCGATGCTTGTGACGGATTCCAGCGACGTCGTCCTCACCATATCATCGTAACGTCTCTGGTGTTGATCACCTTCACCCGCGGCCACAACGTCCTTTCCATTGATAATGTAGGTAAAGTTACCCCCACAGGAGTCACTGAGAACAACGTAGATTCCAACCTTCTTTTCGGGGAGGATTCCCTTGAAGTAGTCCAACCACCTAATCCATACCGTTTGCACTCCTACGGCCTTTTGGGATTCCTTATCCAGCGTATCAAAGACAGGGACAAAGACCTGGCTAAGAGGGTCGCCTGGATAGTAGACTTGCTGCTGTTGTTTGATCCCAAGCAATAGAGAAAACCATTCGGTGTCCTGGTTGCCAGTCGAATTCATGCTTCCTGGTGGCGCCATCAAGAACTTGTCGACAACAACAGAGCGACTCGAGAGGGATAGATTGGCTCCGATATAAGCACGACGAGACTTGAGAATGTTCTCGTTCACCTCCTGACCATTGTAGACGATGGGGGTGGTTTGCCAGGTGGGCAGGTAGGGTCCTTGCCCCTTGTCTGTTACGGCCAAACCCTTGAGGTTGTGGAACCAAATAGGCCAACGCTCTGCGATGTGATCGTGCTCTTCGTGCTTATCAGGCATGTCTGTAAAGTTGAGCAAACCAATGTTGTCTTGGTACTGGAGACCCTCCTCACTGTACATGGATAGTTAGTTTGAGCAGCAACAACACTAGAGTCAGAGAAAGGCGCCACTGGCAACCTGCACGACAGCTATACTTCCTTCCACAGTCTAGACTTACATCCATAGAGACTCATTGCCCGTCACGTACAGCTCCCAGTCCTTGCGCTGCTCCTTGACCACCAGAGGGCTGACATGAATGTACAAGGCGCCCGACTGATCCAAGTAGGTTGCCGCTCGTTCTTGAAACCGCGAGAGAGTCACAAAGGGGAAAAGGCTTTGAGTCTCTTCCGCATGAGCCGCCATTGTCACGGCCAATCCGGACACGGCGGCCAGCTTGGAGACGGCAATGTCCATAAAGGCGTCCATCACCTTCTCAGCGGCTGCATCATACTGCGAGTTGTACTCGGCCATCTCAGCGCTGGTAGAAGTAAAGTAGGTGATGAGACTCACGGCAATGGTGGCCACAATCAAAAAGTCAAAGACGAGCAGCCTGAGCCGGAGCACTGCCTGTGTTTCTCTCTTGGCAAACTGCAGCTTTCCATCATCGTCTTCCTCCGAGCCGGACTTTGTCGTTCGACCTGTACTGCTGTGCACACTGCAGTTGTCTTCCAGGTCGTTGTTGGTGTGCTGGTACAAGTCATCGCTGAGGGTATCTTCGTCCAAGAATTGATCAGGAACCGATTCAGTCTCCGCGGTGGGGTGGCTACCAAACTTGCTCATCGTGGTGGTGGCTTGTGTAGGTTGTTGTCTGTTGTTGTTGTTGCTGCTGTCTGGAGCCAAAACTGTGGCTGTAGATATTATGTAGTTGTGTTGGGGATGCCCAGTGATTACTGTGTTGGTTGGGTAGAAAATGTTGCCAAAAATGAATGTGTTGGTAGCTGTGTTGATACCGGTACAGCCTGAACCAAACTGAGAAAAATTATGGCAAATCTTTAGAGGCTGGAGCCAAGTGCGGGTGCGGGATGCTGGACCTTGCATTGCCCCGCCTACATCCAGTACTAGTACTCCCTAGCTAGTATGGCGTGGGTGTCTTGGCGGTTCCATAAGAGAGGAGGAGCTTCCTTTCTCGTTTCCTTGGCTTCGGGTCTTCTTGCTCGCGATGACTCAATAAGTTTGGGTAACGCTAATAGCCCCCAGCTCCAAGCTCCCACCACCAACCACGTACGATAAGTGCAGACATACATGATGAGCTCATGATGAAGCTCAAGGAGCTTTAGTCGGAAGGGAACGGGTCTCCTCAGAGGTGTTGAAGAATAGATTAACCAAAAATATTTACATTACTCCAGAGTAGGCGTCAGGAGAGTGCTGGGAGTTGATCCCCTTGCTGGAAACTTTCCTCTCCGAACTTCTTAGCACACTCTAATGTTTTCTTGACAAATGACAGCCCTTGTTAGACACTGCAACTGCTTCCTCCCTCATGTCACACTCTTTCCCTTTCTGAAGCTTTTACCAGCAGTGGTCGGTGGTTTCTACATGTACTCGAGCTGTACTGGTTGGTGGATGATAAGAGGCGACGTGGTGGATAGATCGAAACAGAATCTTTTGGTTTGGTGGCCAATTCACCTGTACCAATAAGAGCCTTCTTTCTTCCACTTCAAAGTCCAGGATTTGCGCTGACGCATGCACACGAGCTGCAACCCCATTGGTCAAGGATCTGTCTTTTTCGCTCTTCCTTGACACCTATCTCGTTCGATTCGCCCAGTCAGTAGCCAAAGAAATGGACGTGGAGTGTGGAGGTTCACATTCAGCAATGATTCAGGCACCATTCTAGAACTCAGGAGAGGGTGAGCACCTACGGTCATGCTGCATGGGGATTGTCCATGAATGACCTTTGTGGTTGCGTTTGGGCTTTTCTTCCTATCTTTGCTCTTTACTCTACTAGTAGACTAGAGCTCCAGTAAAAGCTGGTCGAGGTATTGGTGATGCATTGGAGGTTTCGGGAAGACTAGACATGACGCCATTCTTCCTCTTAGAATGACAGGCCAACAATCTTTTCTGGGCTTCCTACCCAGGGTGTGGGACTCACATGAAATACACGCTGCGTGTACTCGATGTGAGTACGGGTACTGAGTACTGAGTATACTCAGTACCCATACTCACATGACCTCAGAAAATGTGAGTATTACTCAGTACCCGTACTCACATGACTCCAGATTTTGAGTACTTTCTGAGTCTTCGGTGAGTACTTCGGTGAGTACTTCGAAGTGAGTACCAGTGAGTACTCGGTGAATACTCGGTGAGTATTTTGTGAGTGAATGGTGGGAGACAACTGGCAAAACCAACCACCCAATCATCTTTGAAGTTGATGTGCGCATCTTTGCAATGCCAGATAGCAACGGCTTCCAAGAAAGAGTTTTCAGTTCTTGTACATGGTTTGATGGAAAACTCAGCAATGGACAGAAGGTTAACATGACATTCCAAATGCGCCTTCTTTGCTACAAGAACAGTGCATTCATCCAGAACTACAAGCAATGCATCAATGATGCAAGAAAGGAATGGGCTAAGAATAGGACCAAGGATCTCCTCAAGCTAACTGCCAGCAGATGTGAAGAGGAGGATTATGACAGTGATATTGATGCCATGGTGGACCTTTACAACAAGATTGATGAGCCCCCAGCCCAGAACTAGAAAAACCTAGATAATTTCCCTAAGTAATTGATTTATGAGTACTCAGTGAGTACTCTATAGTACCCACAAAGTACCTGTACTCACATGATACCCGTACTCACTTGACCCTGGGAATTGTGAGTATTACCCAGTACCCATACTCACTTGACTTTGGAATTGTGAGTACTACTCAGTACCCATACTCACATGCTAAAACAGTGTGAGTACCACGCCCTGTTCCTACCGGTAGCCAGTACTTCACATCCCTTTAATTAAAATTGGCCAAAAGGACGTTCTCAGCAGCCAAGGTCCAAAGGTCTTTTTCCAGGCCTCGATAGTGGATGGATGTTGCTCGCCTGGCCCTCCAGTCTCCGCTCCTCGCTCCAGCTTCTAAAGCTCTATAAAGCTTTAGACCTCGGGAAAATTTAATGTCCTAGGAGTAAGCCCTATCTCAATCAGAGTCTGGCTACTAGGTACTGGTACCTCTAGTAGCTAGGGTACTCGAGTGGTCCGATTAGCTGCTCGATTGATTGATTCAATGATTCCAGGCGCCACCAAGCTTTCTACTATTAATAGGGGATGGGTAAATCCCACTATAGCCCTGTAGTGTACTCAACAGGAGTGACTCAGAATGTCAGAAAAAGGATAAAATGAAGCTTTTAGCGGGAAGCAAGATTCAATTGGATTAGATTGCATTGGATTAGATTGAATTGGATTGAATTGGATTCCAAATACGTCAGGGAGATGTTAAAATAAGCGGGAATTCTCCGTTTTTTAAACACCACCAGCTTTTTCCCTGCTTTGTTTAACACCACCAGTTTTCTTCCCCTTTTGTTTAACACTAAGGCAAACAAGCTGTAAACATGCTGTATCATGAAACCAAAGAAATAATGAGAGTTTTGATTCAGGCATCACAAGAAACTCTTGTTTCTCCAAATTGACTAAGTGTGTGTTCAAATACGGGACTGAAGGACAATAGAGCTAGGGAGCAAAAAAGTGGATGTTAAAGCTTTGGGCAAGTGTGTGTTAATCACTGATGAATAAACTGGTGGTGTTCAAAAAAGCGAGAATTCCCGATTCTTTTAACATCTCCCAGTCTCCTTATGGTCGGCTCCCTGTTAACTCATACTCTCCGTTCTGTAGAATCTATTCATTCCCTGTCTGGGAAGGTGGGCGTTATTTATAGTAAACTGGAATTAAATGCAATCCAATTCAATTCAATCTGATCGGATCTAATCCAATAGAAAAATTGCAGCCCAAAACAAATATTCGCTTTTTCACAGACACTTTTACAAAAAACGCTATCAAATACAATGCAGGGCAATCAGCAAGTTTGCTCATCCCCATAGCTGCGTCAAACTCCCGAACTGTTGGATGTGCAGGTCAGAAAGTTTCGGCGCATGAAACTTAGGCACATGACTTTAACGGGGTCAATGCCAACGGATGCAATAACTGCTGGTCAGTTGCGTCTTTGAGTTGCCTTTGTGCCGTCTTTGTTGTGTCTTTGGCTGGACCTGGCGATCGAACCATCAAACCTAGCGGTACAGAGTACCGTACTACAGACTAGAGAGAGCGAGAAGCTCTTTTTGGCTCGATCTCGACGCAACAGCCCTCAACTCGCCGCAACCACGAACAGACACGCAACCAGGCATCAAATTTGCCGGGTCAAGAAGTAGCTAGTAGCTAGCTAGAGTACTTGCTTGAATGCCTTATTTCATTACCACTCCTTTCTGAGAAGCTCATAATAAGGGCAATGGTGCAGTGGCTGCAAGTTGAGCCTGTTGTTACTGAATTGGATATTGGATCATCAATAAGCAACACATCCGAGTGCCACCGGTACAAGTTGTACTGCCCACACTGGTTCAGAAAGACGAGCACTGATGACTCAAGAAACGAACCTAATATGGTTGGAAGCCTCACCTTTTAAAAGGACTGATGGCTGGGACGGGCGGGCAGCATGCAGCCAGGCAACCAGACAACCACCAAACTGTGTCTGTGCAGGGCCATCACGGTCGGTATCCAGTTGAGTAGTACCAGGTCCTGTACCGGTACAACCTGTCCGGAGCCGACTGGAATTGCCCAGCGAGAACCATTGTCAAAAGATCTGCAATCAAATGATACTCAATCAAGGGTCGGGCGGGCGCCTTTGCTTGCCTGTGGATCTGGCGCACTTCTTGCATTTGACCTTTTAAAATGAATCGAGAAAGTGACGAACGCTAACGGCTAAGCCAAATACAGCCAACAAAGAGATGAGGCCAAGGGCGTCCTGGATTCAGTGGCATCGTGGTAGAAAGAAACTTTTGCAAGGACGAATATCTAAGTACATTTAGCAGGCAAGGAAACCTCAAACAACCTCTGGGATGCTCTTTGTTTCAGCCGCTGTGGTTGGAGGCGCCATTTCAGCCATGGTTTCTCCCTTCCTTGGTAACCACCGCCACTGTTTCTGGGATGACTGCTGCTTTGGGCACCGCTGCACCTCCCCGCCACCCAAAACGGAAGCCACGTCGCAGGTCGCCTTTCGGATATCGGGCTGTTTTCCCATGTACGAGACGACGTCCTTGGTGGACCCGAACTCTCGGAGCACAAACGATCGCCCAACCTTTAGCAATTTGAACATCCTCTTGTCGGGAGCAAGGAAGGGTTCATGGCCGGACAGGTCGGTTCGCGGATGTGCCAAGATTTTGTAGAGAGCCACTGTCTCGTCGTTGACCTTTTCAGGCTCGAAGTACTGCTTGGCTTCCAAGCGATACTCGGCTGTGGCTTTGTTCATCATGACGCGTGGAAAAGAGGAAGTTTCCTTGGGCCGGCCTCTGGTAATCCATTTTTCACGGCAATGGGTCTTCCAGTGCTTGACGATTTGGCTTGCGAGCTTGTCGGCTTCTTGGGTCCTCCCCAACCCGTTCAGGGCCACATTGAGATGACACATCGCGGTGAAGTTCATGGGATCTTCCTTGAGTAGGGCTCGTGCCTTGGTTTCTGCCTCGGTGTTCTGACTGCGACGCAACAGATCGGTGATAGAGTTCTCCGTTGCCATTATACTCCCCACCTTCTGAAACACCTGTCGGGCGGCCAGCCCAGCGGCGGCGTTTTGAAAGTCCCGATATTCGGCAAGTTCAAACATGGACTTACAGATATAGCACTGAACAATCTCCCTAGGTTCTCCCCGTGGACAGAGGGGAATGAAATACAGGTGGCAGTAGCGAGTAACGTTGAAGAGTAGACATACTCCGTTGCAGCCCCTCCTCGGACAACGAGCACCGGATCCGATGACGGCGGTGCTGTCTTTTCGTAAGGATTTTCGGCAAGTGCGTCCCCAGATGATGATCATGGTTTCTGGTTGCTGTGTTTCTTGAAAGGGATTACTAGTAGATTGTGTGGAGCAACGACCGAAATGCTTGCTCTGGCTATAGCAGTCTAGAGTGAAGGGAAAATTTTGTCATGTTGGGGTCGTTCATAGATGAATAATGAGTGCTCTGTGGTCTGTCTTGTGGACAAAATCATACTACTCGTACGGTAGCTTTACTAGCTAGCTAGCTAGTAGCTAGTATTGTAGAACCAATAAGAAAAAGCAAAGAGCGCTTCTTTCCTCCACTGCCGTGCATACTGAGTACTGAGTAGGTAGGTAGGATGGATGCCGTACCGGTACCGGACCCGTACTAGTACCTGAAATACAACGAGAGCTACTAGACCAGCTAGTAGCTAGAGAGAGACGCAAGGACTTTGTTCTCCCAAAATTCAGCAAGATTCGATTAGATCTACAGAAATCATTCGATTGATCTTCGATCATCCAGGTCCGGAACCAGATTCTTAAGTAGGGATGTACTAGTGGGGATCGACCCCAGCGAAGAAAAAGTACTGTTTTACTATAGAAAAGAAGGGGTCAGGGAGGGGGACGGAGGTGAGGTAATACGGTGTAATGGTTGATACGTTGATACTGGTACCCACCTCGGTCCCCCTTTATATTAAGTGCGGGAATACGGTTATTATCTCTTCAGCTACACCGGCTTGTTGTGCTAACTGCAAATTGAAGGGCCTCCGGCTGACGTCCACTGGCTACATCGTACTGTAACGGCAACGCAACATGTTCATCGTACACCGTAGCAAAAAAATCTTCCATCATTGACAAACATGCACCGTCCAGTCGTCTCTTCGTCTGTACTTCATCTTCAGCTGGGCCCACAACGCGCAAGGACTCCTCACTTGTCTCTTAGCATTTTCATGTGAAGATTGTCGTGAGGCAACGTTGCACACTTCCCCAGAACTTCAAAACGGGATTTGATTTCCAGATACCGTGACCATGTAGCTGGTGTTAGTCTAGTTTCTTCCCCAATACATGTGCCGAGTCAAAATCAATGATTTTGATACTGAATGTCCCATTACTTTCCTTCTTCCACATAAAGTTTGACAAGTAGAGATCCATGTGGATCACCATTTTTTCATGCATGTCACTAACGGCGCGTTCCATTTCAGAAACCAAGGCCTGTCGATTAGTCGCATTGTGTGGGAGACCAATGCAGTAGCCCACCAACCTTTGGAACAGAATTGCATCATCTCTGCAAGCTGCATCCTTCAACCGAACCGCAATGGGAAGGCAAGCATATGGGGTATTCGCAAGTCGCTTGGTTACGCCCAGCATACGAGTAAGAGACTGGCCGACAGAATCTTTTCCACAGCATGAAAAAGTCGCGCATCAACTTAAAGTGGTATTTCTCTTTGTCCAGCCGCATGGCCATGCCATCAACCCTCACGGGGCTGTTTGTTGCAACATATTGTTCCAATTCATTGCAGTGATTGGACATGGCGATGAGGATTTTGGCGGTCTTGAGGCGTTCTTCTTCCTCTGACATCCGTAGAAGTGGTGTAACGAAACACAGTGTAGGTAGGCTAGGTTCAAGCATGTACACCGCCGACACTTGCATGCTGCCTGTTGTTGCAAAGACAGGAACACAATTCTTTCACGAGGAATTCCAATTGTGGCCATTGCCATGGCTGCATTGGTTGCGTTCGCTATTCCCTCCCCGTGGCTTGAATCCGGAGACGCTGCTGTGTCCTTGCACTCAAAGATTGATGTAACCATGAAATTGACAGGCAACCCGGTACTCGTAAGCTGAGCCAAGGGTTCGGTGTGGAAGTAAGCCTCTGGGTAACTCCCGACGGTGGAAATTCCACCAGTAAGGCCAAGATCGGCAAGTGTGCGTCTGCTGCTCTTGTCTATTCCATCATTGAAGACTCGACTCGCTCAGTACATGTAGACTAGTCACTTGTTTGGGAAACTTTTTGGCAATATAGTCCAAATGGCTGGTCTGCACCGTTCTCAACAATGGATCCTTGCTGGTTTCCGGTACCGACTTCAAATTGTAAGGTGTTCCATCAACGAGGAAAGATTCCGATAGTTCATTAGAAATGTCTTCCTCTTCTTTATTGAGAATTGCTTCAGACTTGCTGGTAAAGTGCTCCTTGACATGTTGTGGAACTAAGTGGTCATGGAATATGGGAGGCAAATGTGGCAACTCCTTGCAGCGTCCGGGAACCACCGGCTGTAAAGGAAGAGGCATTCGCTTGATTAGGCTCTGTGATCTTGTAGCGCTTGGTTTCTTCATCTCGCAATTTTGGTCGTCTCAGTTTGGAAACTTGCTTCTGGAAAGACCTTCCAAATTTGCTCAGAAACCAGTTGTCATCTTCGTCATTTTCAATCTCTGTACGATGGATGTCAATCCATTTCCATGCCTCAAGCAGAGTACCCCTCATTGCGGGAGCGAACACGATTTCCTCAGACACCGTTCTCTTATCGTCAAATTGGAAGAAATCCTCCTTCCCCGCTTCGCGATAAAACGTAATGATGCTGTCAATTTGTAGGTGATCGAACGCTTTCCTCTGGTCCTCGCGCAGTTTCAATACTTTCACAAAGTGCTTCCACGATTTATCATCAGAGGGATCAGCTTTGCTACCGGTATCTCCACCCATTCTATGTAGTTGCGGTGCTGTCGTTAAAGCGATATGGCCTACTAGTTATAATGCTGCTGGAATGATGTTCGGTGCAAAATGTTCGGTGGTTCGGTGTGTGTTGTTATTGTTGTTGTTGTTTGTTTCGCGCCCAACGTACATAAGGACGGACGCTCGCGACTACCCCCAACATACATGAGCTGGTGAACAAACGGGGGTTTAGAGTAGGGAAATTAGCTACGGAAGCCAGCCCGGGCCAGGCTTAAGCAAAGAATACAGTAGTCGAAATCCAGGACTAGGTTCTGTGGGATCAGGGGCAAGAAAGTGAGGACCATTACGGTGAGCTGGTTGGTTTCTCGTACACGCGGATCCATTCCCAACAACGCGGTCGTGGAGGCTCCCGGGGCTGTCACGGATCAGCGGGGAAATTTAAAACTCAAGAAGGATTAGTCCAGGCAAGAAGAAGTGCTTGAACAAGTGGTGCTAGTAGGATACTGGTAGTATAGGTCAACCAAACTCTCTGAGGGCCATGGCTGAGCCTTGAAGTTGTTCTGTTCGTTTCACTAGCAGTATGCTGGACCAGATCAAATGTAAGGCATACATTATGCCTCAGCCTCCAACGTTGAAACTGTCTGCATACCGGTATTCTGTACTGTACCATTAGAGTGGCGGTGCGTGACTTTCGCTGTGTCTGTGGGGAATGACAGCGGTACCGTACCGCACGCGACCATCTTCAAGGGCTCCGATCCGGTATCTTACCAAAAGTAATTATCTAGAATACATCGTACTGGTAGTATCTTACTACCAAAGGAGGTATAAAACATGAAGAGGAGCCAAGACAGCTTTAAACTTTAGGTAGATGCGGTAAAACAAAACCTGTACTGAAATCTATACAGTTCACCATAACTTTAACCCAAGATTTACCGCAGCTACCAGTACGTTTCTCAATAATTGGGTGGAGTCGAGTCTTATTTGTTTTGATTGTTCCGAGTTCCGAGGTTCCCTGGCTTCATTTGCGCATCCTCGATCCCTTCTGCCAGCGGTACTACATGTAGCTAGTACGCAGCTCGCCCACAAGGTACCGTACGTCAGGTGGCATTCCAGCCGTGTCCATCTTCGCAATGGCTCGTTTGTTTCCACCCATAATATCATACGGCAGTATCATAGAATCCAACCCTCATTCAATCTCATTCGATATCTTTTGTGGCCATGGCGACAACCAACTCATCGTCTCGGCAAGAAGCATTTGTGGCCATGTCGAATAACAACGCATCGCTCCAGCCGAAAGCACCCGATGACGATATTTCTTATCGGATGGTGGCCCTTGCGGTAGATGATTATATGTCGGTTTCGGTCCATACTTCGCTGTTCGACGGTACCGTCATGTCAGAGCCGATGCCCTCGGGTACTACTGCTATGGAGGACGCCTTCGCATCTATCGGTATGGACTCCATGTCGATGTCTCTGATGCTGCCAGCAGAAGAAGCAGAAGAAGCATCTGAAAGGAATCCCATTCCAGACGTGGACACCACAGCCTCCACTACTAGAGCAAAGGATATGGATCTTCACGACGCCTTGAAGAGCATGGCGTCGGCCAGCGAAGTCAAAGAAATCTTGCAGAGTGCTACAGACAACAACAAGTCCATCACCAAGTCCTGGGATGAAAATATGACACCTTTGCATCGGGCCATGAGGATGGCAGCTCCGGATGAAGAAGTTATTTTGTCCATTATTGAGTTTGATCCTGAGGTTATTACCATGCAGGATGACGTGGGAAGAACTCCTTGTAAGGTTTGCTTGTCTAGCTACCCAGCTATTCTCTTTTGGTGTTGTGTGAACGCCACTCATCATTGTGTGTCTTTTTGATTTTTTGTACCGTCAGTGCATTGGAGCATCAAGAACATTGAGAACGGAATCTCCCCCGTAATCGTCCAAGCTCTATTGAAAAATGCCCCGGAGGCGGCAAAGATAAGAGATCACGGTGGATGCTTGCCCCTTCATTGCGTGACTACACGAACCTCTTTTCAATCCGTCGAAGATGTTTATAAGAGCTACCCAGAAGCAGTGACGGTACTCAACAAATACAGAGAAACTCCGCTTCACAAACTCTGTCAGCATGTAGCCAAAGACGGAATTGTCAAATCACCGGCCGCGGCTCGTCTTTTCAAAATGCTGCAAGGGGGCGCGGTTGACAGCGAGGAGATGAACCTCACTGGAGCAAGGCAAACTAGAGATGGGCCGGCAGTAGGGATTGCCCACCACCAAGACCGCCACGAGGCATCTCCCTGGGAAACACTCATGGACGGGTGTTTGAAGCAATCAAGCGAACTCATGGAAACGTTGGACGTTCTTCAGCACTGGCAAGGCTCTGGAGACCAGCTATCGCCCGAAAGCTTGAACAAGCTACAAATGCTCAGTGAGAGAATGCGCACCATAAGCAGTACCGTGGACAATCTGGTTCACACCGCCCAAGAACTTTCTCCCACTACTGTTGCGCGGCTTCCTCCTCTGCATCCTCGAGAGATACAGCCAGCGCCACTGACAACAAGCTCCGCAGGAGACCTGGCCTCGGAAATGTCATTACCATCTGCGTTCACCCCCTCATTTCGGTTTGACAATCCGCACACTGTCGCAAGCAAGTCCACAGAACACCTCAAAGGAGCCACCAACAGCGAGCCACATGAATCACGACCAATGGAGCAGAGGATCCAGGCAGGGCGGTTCAGCCCACCCCCGGAATGCCGCTTTGACCAGTGCCCGGTGCTCCCCATTGTTACCCCCACAAAAGTTGGTTCCTCCACAGACGGCAATAGTCCCGCCAAAGCTTCCCCCGTTTTCACTGTCGGAGACACGTGTGTGGGGGAATACCAGGCAAAGATCAAGGCGGAGCGAGTGTTTTCCAGGAGAATTGAGTTGGTCCTCGAGTTCTACAAGACTGGTGCGGGCGACGGTGCCAAAGTGAAACGAAAAATAAAGGGCCAGTATGATAGAATCGCAAGATGTGTCCGCGAGTGTTGCAACAATGACGTTCACAAGTATTGCAGCAATCATCCCAAGACGCTTGATCTCTCTCGCCTGCAGTGTCCCAATGGCCTAAAGCACTTTCACGAGGGAAGAGCTAGCTAGGCTAGCTCGGCTAGCTAGTAGCACTCATTCCTGGATGGAAACTATCTCGGGCAAATGCGCACATCTCCATTACGCGCTCATTCTGCCAGGAGATAGAACTCTTAGATGGTGAATACATAGAAGATACCCGTAGTACTTTTGAGGAAAGAGGAACTCGGGGATGTTTCAGTTGCCAAAAACGAGGCATCCATTCGAAAACCCAGCTGCATTGATACCAGTAAACCTAGCTAGCTAGAGAATGGTGTTTGATCCAAGGGAAACACACCAAATCTAACTTTGAGACGCTGCGTGAGGGCGCCTTCGGCTCTTCCACCCTTCAGCGCAGATAGCAGATAGATGCTGTAAACCGGGACCAATCAGTCAGCAGCCACTTTGTCTCGTTCTATTTTTTTAATTCTATTCGCAGCTGGGTGATTTAGATGTACAGTCAACATTCAGATATATATACTGGGGGGGATTCAGGAATTCAGTAAATATAACAGCGAGAATAAATATTGATTTTATCCCTAACCCTAACTATTCCCGTAGAATTGTACGTGCTCTAGTACTAAAATAGGGTTAGAGTTAAAAATGTGGGAACTGGAGTATTCTTAAATATTATAGAGCGAATAAATACAAGATTATAAATATAAGCGAGCGTTGACTGTATTTTGAAGTCTGGACATAGAACTTACAGAACCTTCTCGTGGAATGTCACTTCCCTTCCATTTAAGTCCGAGGAACTCACCACGGCTCGCATTGAATCGCCACTTCTTGGCCTCAGCAAACTTGCTGTAGCGGCGTCCCTCTCACAAATCTGATCTCCTCAAACTGAAACCTAAACCTTCCAACATGGACCGCAAAAATACGAGGCAGTTTCCCGCAGCTGACCGCGAACGAGTGGTGTCAGAAGAGGAAGGAGAGGTACATGATGAAGCCTTTCCAAAGGACATTGACTTGGTTGCTGGGTGCGAGGATTTGAGGCTGTCGAAACTTGTTGCTGCTCGAATCACAACATCAATCTCAGCAGCAGCCGATCAGTCAGAAGAGGAAGGAGAGGTACATGATCCAGCCTTTCCGACCGACCTCGACTGGGTTGACGGGAGCGAGGATTTGAGGCTGTCAAAGCTTGTTGCTGCTCGTCTGTGTGAGGCTGAAGAATCACAGCAGAATGAGAACCAGGTGATAACACCTTCTTTGACCCCTACCAAAAACACAGCCGTGTACGCCTCAACCAATGGACCAAAGGAAGACTCTGAAAAGCCAGCAAAACGAGCACACGATCAGTCAAAATCAAGCGATCCATCCATGGTGCCAACAAAAGAGTTGCTCATGGACGATAGAATTGACGCTGGCAATCCTTCCGGTATGGAAAACAGCTATGGCACAAATAATGGAACACAAGAAACTTCCAGTGAACAACAAGACAGCTTGCCGGGTGCATATGCGTTGGCTCCACCGGGTGTTGTTGTTGCTGCTCCACTGGGTGTCAACAACAACGGCTCGAATGGTGTAAATCTATTGCCACAAAGTGAGCATCACCCTGGAGTACCGTCATTGGATAATGGTCCGACAATGGTGAGCAGTAGCTCCTCCATATTTGATGGGGGCATTCCAGTAGCGAATCTTGTCAGCAATGATCATGATAACACCATTCCTGAGGCCGAACCAGAAGACATTGAAGCACAGATGGGGCGCAGAAAGCAGAGAGAAAGAATGATGCTGAGGATGGGAGCATTATCTCTTGCTTTCTTTCTGATGGCTCTAGGACTTGTTCTGGTAATGGTACTATTCATGGTTTCAAAAGGTCAAAAGACTGACATTGAAAGGCCTGTCTCTACAGTGTCCCCATCGGCTCCTCCGTCAATGCCCCCTTCTCAGCGGCGACAGAGTGATAGTGCTCTTCAGTTATTCCCTAACTACACCAAGGTGATGCTGGACGACTTGGAGTCAGCCCAGTACCATGCCTACCAATGGCTGCTTGGTGACATTGAAATGCATGACAACAGGCTTGCAGATGAGCGAATTCTTCAGCGTTTTGCCCTTGCCACATTGTACATGTCAACAAATGGCGACAGCTGGTTCAGAAATGAGAACTGGTTAAACCATTCAGTCCATGAATGCTTCTGGTATTCAAATGACCAGTTTCTGGACTTCGAGGACGAGGATTATGAGTATGTGCAAGTCATTCACACCAATCCTTGTGAGATGGCACCCACAAACAACACAGATGTGTCAGTTCTTCCAGGAGAGACAGAAGACATGTATGTTCATCTCTGGCTTGCCAACAAGAAGCTAGAAGGCACCATTCCTCCTGAGGTATTCTGGTTGACACACCTCAGGAGTATTTCCTTCTACAACAATGATGGTCTTGGGGGCTCCATTCCTTCCTTGATTGGGCAACTAACCAGCCTGGAAGCTATCAACATGGGGGGCACAGCAATCTCAGGTGTTTTGCCCAGCGAGCTAGGCCTCTTGTCAGATACAACGCACAGCATTGCCATCATCAATGCTCAATTGGAAGGAAGGCTCCCATCAGAGCTTGGTCTCTTGCACAGGATGCATGATCTCTTGTTGGATCAAAATGGGTTTACAGGAGTTCTGCCTGAAGAGTTAGGAAATGTGTCTAGCTTGGAATGGATCTATTTGTCTGATAACTCATTCACAGGGACCCTCCCAGTCTCCATGGTGCAATTACCTTTGCTGCAACAGTTGTATCTTGATGGGAATCAATTTTCCGGAGCCATGCCAACAGAGATTGGCTTGCTAAGTGATATCGACCATTTGGTTGTCTACAGAAACAGATTCACTGGAACCATTCCAACTCAGGTTGCTCAAATGTCATCTGCTAGCAATCTTGACTTTGATGACTGCTACTTTACTGGGACTCTTCCATCGGAGCTTGGTCTTCTCACCAAGATGACACAATTCTGGGCTGCTGGCAACAGTCTAACTGGAACCATCAGTACTGAAATTGCACAGAACCTCAATCTTGAATATTTCATTGTATCTGAGAACCATTTTTCCGGAACAATCCCTACTGAGTTTGGCCAGATTGTCAACTTAGACTCATTGAGTTTGTCAAACAACAACTTGTCTGGGTCACTTCCACATGGGCTTAGCTCCAACATCGACTGGTTGGAAGTCTCCAACAACACTCTATTGACTGGCCCTCTCCCTACAAGCCTTATAAATTTGAATTGGGTATGGCTGACTGGCACTCAGATCTCTGGAGTATTGCCAGGCTACGTTTGTGATATTGAAACACTGGCGTTTGACTGCAGCTCAATTCTCTGTGGTTGTGACTGCACTTGCAGCAACAATACGAACAGCACAGCAGCTAACATTCTTGCCAGAAAGAATGAAACTGTTGGCTAACCAGCTGGCATGGTTGCTCCAAATTAAAATACATAATACCCGCATTCGCTTTCACTGTGTTGAACTTGGAGTGTAGGAGGCTTAAAAGACTATTTGCTAACTTCCCTTGTCTGCATGCTTCTATCAACTAGCTAGAGGTTGCATGTCGAGCAGCAGCACGCCTGGAGGACTACGTCACGAACTTCCACACCCGCTGGTGTGGAAGTTTATGAAATCATGCCCTCAGTCCGGTTGCCAAGCAACAGTACCACCTCACAAATTGCAAAACCGTTGCCGCACGCATTTGCTCCGCCCTTGCTCCTGTTCCCAGAAAACCAAAGTGACACCGCAATTACTCTCCACAATGTCAGCCAACACTCGTCAGTGGCCTTTGCCTTTGTGGTTCAAGGTGACGAAGACTACATGGCTGCATATCTACATTGGACACAGCCTGTACTAGCGTATGGTGAAGAGAGACCTCGCCAATGCTGAGAAGAGTAGCGTACTGTAACTTCCCTGAGATTGTGATTTCGCTTGCGTAATCGTTCTGACTGTGCCCAGCATAAACCCCCTGATGGTTGTCACAGCACGGATATATGGGAAGCCAAGACCAGAAAAGAGGTGACACAGTGTGATGATCATATTGTTATTAGCTTTCTTTGCCCCATCGTCCGTCCATGGCCATGATTTCAGATTCACATACGCTGCAACTGCACCGTTTCTTAGGGATCGACGGCACCGAGAGGAAGTACATTTCGTCCTACTCCTGTGGTCCCCAATTCATTGAATTCCGTTAAGGTACCCAGGCGGTTATGCACATTGATTTGTGGGGACCCGTCAAGCGGGCCACGAGACAATTCCACACATACAATCTTCCGGGTGGAGCAAATTGCTGAGGAGCGAGAGCTTCATTGACTTGTGTATAGGTAATGCTCGTCGGAGGAGCTCTTGAGAATCTGAGGACATGTCTGGCGCTTACCGGTATGAGGTGCTGGGGCGAAGGGTTGTAGAGATAGGAGCAATAGGTGGGTGGTGCAGTAGGGGGCAGCTAGAAGGCTGGTCACAATGTCAGGTCATGTGCTTCTAAAGGCTGACCCCATTGATCCCACCTTGTAACCTAGCTAGAGATTTGAGGTAAGATTATCGATTGTCATCTATGCCCTCCTATGGATCGAGAAGTGATCTATCCAATGAATGGGTCTGGTCTGGTTGGTAGTCCTGTTTCTATCTCACTGACTTCAATCTATCTTATCGCATCAAAGACCAACGAGTCGCCGAGGTCTTGTGCATACGGTACAGGAAGATCTGCGCCGACACAGGAATCAGCACCAAAAAACTAGGAAATAGCAAGGAGGGATGAATCCAATAGCAGGATGCACTCTCCTCTGTGCGCTCGAGTTTTCATGTAGCCTCCTCCCTCCTCCGTAGCGGTTGCCTTTTCAATGACGACTCGACGACGAGCGATAGGCTCCTCTGTTCAGGCTGGAGGTAGGGCTATAGCCTCGAATTCTCTCTTTATCCGGAGCGATCGAAAAGGACTCGACATTGGTATTTCCTGGGTAATCAGCAGTAAGAGAATAGACAGTAGGAAATAGATGTGGTTTTCTCACTGATACTGCAGACAACCGGTGACTTGGTCTAGTTTTTCAAACTCCACCAATTTGGCTGGCGGACATGACTGTCATTCATGGTCCATAGAATTCAATGAGGGATGGCTTTCCAATCTGCACCGGAGACGGTCGGCTTGATAGTAGAGGTTGCTTCACATGACGCATCAACTGGACTTCCTTCTGACCCAACAAGACATGGCACTCCACAGCGGTGATCTTGGTGGACAACGGTGTGCAATTGATTTCTCCATCCCCCAGACTCTACAAACATGTACCAGCTAGCTAGCTACTAGCTAGTACTGTACAGTATAATATGTAATCTCTTGCCAGTAGAGTCTAGTACAGTATTAGTCTTGAAGATTCTAGGACCCCCACAGCCAATGGAGTTGATCAATCGAGGTCGGCCTGCGTGGCACGTGTTAAATCCCGCGATAAAAGCTTGCCAGAGGCCAGTCTGTAAAATTCTGTTAACACTCCCTA